GGGGTGGGTGAGTTGAGTTGAGTTGAGTTGAGTTGAGTTGCAAAGTTCCCCCTGAACCTCTCCCTTTCTCCCTCCCCACAATACACCCTGGAGTACCGAGGAACGTGTGAGTCCTCCTTTGCAGGCACTTTTACTGCGTGAAAGGTCATAGCAGGACAGGCTGCCAGGTTGACCACCACACACACACACACAGTTATTTGTTTGTTTGTTTTGCATCATGGGTTTTCTGGCTGTCCACACCAACCTGGAGATCTTGGGGATGTGAGAATGTCAACTCCCAGAATTCTCAGCAGCAGGTATGCTTGGCTGGGGAATTCTGGGAGTTGGAGTATCCAGATGCAGAACGCTCCTCTAAGGTTCTGCGTATCCGCCAAGTAAAATCACCACCTCTCCTTCAACCCGTGGCAAAGTGCTTGGATCCACAGGTTTATCCGTTTTCTTTTGAAGAGCTATGCTCGATGACTTCCCCGCTGCTGTGGTTTTCCAAGTGCAGAAACAAAACAAGATCGAGAATGCCCCAAGCAAGCCACTGAGCTATACACTCAAAATTAGCAATGCAGCATTAGAAGCCACAAAAATCAATTCCACACACCAGAAAAAAAACCCCTGATTTCCAGGGGATAAAGGAAGCTGAATGAAAATATAGGTGGCAAATGCATCTCTCGACAAAACTCTGCACTTTGTATTCGTGGTGAATCAGACATTCTCAGAGTGATACAGACTCGCGACTAAAAATTCTGGGAAGGGTACAGCCTGAGCTGCTGTTCTTGGTGTAAGCCAGGCTGAGCCCAAAGGCGTAGCAGTATAGCCAAAGCGATTCAGTCACAGGTTAGCCCATCACATCTGAGTCGATTTGGGGATGGTCCTCATGTGACAGAGCATGAATTCCAGCCTGCCGCAAAAAAGCCTCTGCACCGAAGAGCAGCCCCTGATGGTTGCAAAATGCGTCTCCTTTTCCAAGCTTTGAAGAAGCTGGCTGGCATGCAGCCGCATTTATTTTGTTCCTAGGCAGCTGATTTTCATTGGAGGCTTAACTCTTCTTTAGTTGTCGTGATTCCTGTCCTCGAACTGCCAAGTTTCAGGAGAATGAAACAGGATGTGATTTCTGAATGAGGCTTTTACCTCTTGGGAGAGAGGGGAAGCCCGTTGTCCGAAAAAGTCTCTTCCTCTTTGTTTATCTAGGACTGTTTTTACTGACAGAGCCCCAACCTCAGAAGATGCCGAGAATAAAACCTGGAACTCTTCTACAAAGCCCTCTCTTCTGCTCTGAAACCTGTCACCTTCTTGGTTTAAAGATGTCACCGTGCTCAGTCAAAGGCTGAGTTCATACATTGCCCTACGCTTGGTTAATTTAACCAGGGACTATTGAATAAAACACTGTTGAGTGTGCAGATTTCCCTACACTGTAACCAAACAAGCACTACAAGGGCTTAACGTGACGTGTGAACCATATTATAGCATGAATGGTTTACGTTAGAGGTGTCGTTGGAAGGCAGCTGGGAATTCTCAGAGGTAGCGTCCCCGTGTGTCTGGTGAGCACCAGCTTGGGGAAGATTGTCCGGCGTGCCACAGCCGGTAGCCGTGTTCCTCACTAAAAGCGGCCTGGTTTGGTTTGCATCCCACATTAAACCTGGGACAGATTGTAGGGGAGGAGGCTGGGAAAGGAAGGGAAAAGAAAATAGACATGAACAATCAAGAGACAGAAGGCAAGTCCATCAGCAGTTGATCTCATTTTGCGTAGCAAGAAATCTGGTCAGAAGCATTTCAGACCTTTCAAGGATACTCTGCTTTCATGACTCACAATAACAAGAGTTGGCAATCCTTACAGTTTCTGGATTCACCTTCAGACTAGCATGAAATATACTAATGTCTAAAATCAGGAGGAGTTTGGTAGCACCTTTTCAGAAGAATAAATGTACAGGCTACTGTAGACCGGTGTTTCTCAGCCTCAGCAGCTTTAAGATGGGTGGACTTCAACTCCCAGAACTTCCCAATCAGCATGGGTGGACTTCAACTCCCAGAATTCCCTGGCTGGGGAATTCTGGGAGTTGAAGCCCACCCATCTTAAAGTTGCTGAGATTGAGAAACACTGCTGTAACTAAGGGAGCTCTTCTACGAGTCTTCCTGAGGTCTTTGTAGTTCTTGCTTTCTAGGTCTTGCATGGGGCTTGACCAAACCACATTATGGTTTTATGGGTTTTTCTTACCTGTTGTAAGATACCTGCTGTCCATTAGCAAACGCAACTGAACAAACTACAGCGTGGGCTTCAGGCGTTCTTCGATAGCATCCTGCTGGGTGTCAACAGGCTGCAGGTATGAAAGGACAGCTGGTTAACAGTCTGAAATGTTAAAATGGCTCCAGTTGAACACTTGAGTTCTACTCGCAGGAGCAAAAGAATTTGCTATTTCCAGAAAAGCAACCTCAGCTTCCAGTTTGCTTCGCTTCTGCATTTTACTGAAAATTATTTGGAGCGGCCTAGCCTTTTGCAAGAGCAATCAAGCAAAATGAGGACATTTCAATTCCTTGTTTACTTTTGAAGTGATACGAATTGCTTAGGGAGTTATTTCCAAATGGAAATACAACCTCGTGGAAATTTAGGATAAAACAGGAGTGGTGGTTGGACTCAGCTGAATAAACACAAGGAACCAGCCCAGATTGTCCCTTCAGTTTCTAAGCCTTCCGATCACCGATGTTCTGTAGGAGCAGAGTAAAACCAGGAATGTCACAGTAAAATCTTTGAAAGATAAAATATTAGCCTTGTATTGATTGCCGGAGTCAAGTTTTAATCGGATAAAGCTTGCAGGCTTGTTTTTTCAAGTAAAAACTTGAACAAACTTGATTCAGTAGCAGTGGGTGCCACTGATTTTTCCCCAAAGGGCCAGGTAATATTTAGGATACCAGTCTGGGCATTTATACTCTTTTTTTTTTTTTTTTTAGAGGGAGCAAGTTTTTCCAACTTGGGGAAAACCCACCTCCTTGTATTCTTCTGAAATGTAATTTATTTGCCCTACCTCACTTCCTCTGCAAAACAGATAGGAATGGGGGGAGTGTTTTTTATTGGCAGGGGAATAAAAGGCGGAAGTGTTTTTTTAATTGGCAGGGCTAACTTTTGGTTTTAGGGAGGTTCTAATTTCCTTTTCACCTCTTCAGGCCAGATGGAAGGGTGGTTTTTCTCGGTTTCTGGGGAAGCGAGCTTGCTGTTCAATAAATGCGTCACAGGCGATTCTCTTGCCGTTGCTGAGCAGGAATCACACTGGCTGCCTCCCAAGATTCAATCGATCTGAGAGCAATCTTTTCTTTCCTCCTCTTAGCTGGAAGAGGGGGGAGGCTCCCAGGGTGTCAATTGGAGTGTGGAATTTGTATAATACTAGGAAATGAGTTAGGCTTTTTGGCAAAGGTTTCTCATAGAGAAAATTGGCTTTTTCTTCAACCTGTTTGGAAGCCTTGATAGAGACAAAAAGTCGCAGATGCAAACCAGCCCTGTTCGGTGGGAAAACTCTTTGAATAAACCTTCTGTGGCTTCTACACCACTCGGGGGGGGGGACAAAAATGGCCCTTGCTGGACACGAACCTTGGGGGGCCACCACCAAGAAGTCTCCCGGCTTTACAGCTGCTTGTGAAGCTGATAGAGTTTCCCCCTCTTCTGGGTCCCCTGTTCAGAATCCAGAACATTCCCAGGAGGTAAAATTGGTGATGTAGATAGAGGTTTCGGTGCCTTGTGGTCCTCTTACGCTACCTATCCTTTGGGAGCTTCACCTAGTTCTTGGAAAGGTGGAAATTCAAAGCTTGGGGGGTGAAGGATGAGCTTTTAAACTTTGGTTGGCATTCTCTGGTTCCAAAGAACGTCTCGGTTTCTTCTTCTTTCGAAAGTCATCTGTTTCCTTCCCCTTTCTGCGCAGCCAATTTTGATCTGTTGATCCAGAAGATGAAAACTTCTTTCTCCTTCCGTTAGTTTGGGGTTCTTTGCTTGAGTTTCCCCCGTGACACTAAACCAGGAAGTGGTTGATTGGTTTGTGACTTGACATGTTGAACAAACCTAGCCATTGCAGTTTGCAAACTATGGTTGATTCAATTAACCATGGTTAAACAGAGTTGGGTTTGGCATGAGGTGCTAAACGGGACATGAGCAGTTAGTTTTATGGATGGATTGCTCTGGATGGTCACCAGAACTGCATCGTCCTTTTTTTGCTTTCCACACCAAGGAGATCAGGATTCCATAACGGTTAAGGAATTTTCTGCATAGTAAACACATTTGGGTACATTTCTTTTTTGCCTTTTATCCTCCTTGGTGTAAGAAACCAAAGTAATTCCCATGCACAAATTCTGGAAAACAACCACTCATCTGAAATTTTTGTAAAGAATTGCCCACACATTCGCAACTCTGTTTCAGCAACCCTGAGGTTAGTATCTTTTCTTGTTTTTCAGTAAATAGGACTTCTCAAAACGCTTGATTTCAGGGCCAGGGTTTCACGCTGTGACTTTTTCTGGAGTTCACAAAATCACAGTAATTACTCAGCCTTAACCATAAGGAAGCCATGTAAATGAACCGAGAGATTGCATTTCACCAACCGTTTGATTTGCTGTGTTCATCCGCCCAGCATCCCATCTGAGCCCAGTTCTCAGCGTCCTAATCCTTGTTTCTGCCAGTGGGTCTCCAGAAGTCTCTGTGGGCTCACCAGCAAAGCACAAAGCGTGCGCTTTCCCCTCATTCGCTGCCCTCGGCATGTGTCGAGCTGGATTGCTTCGGAACAAGGAGGTTCCATTTAGCTATGAAGCTGAGTGCCCACAGAAGCTGTGTGATGATGTTCTCCTGAAATGCCAACACGGGGCAACAAAAACAAATTAACAGTCCAGTCCAGATAATACCTTCCGTAGGACAACTTCAGGGCAGGGACTCTCCAAGCCAGGCCTTGCTAAAAGGAAGCTGTGAGGCTCCTTACTCTGACTTTAGGGCCAGCTTGAAGGGCTTTCACATTGGGGGCCAACTGATGTCAATTGCCGTAGAGTCCCATGAGCAAAGGGGACACTACCATTGAGGCCTCCTCTTTCATGCCCGCCAGCCCCAAGAGCTATTTGAGAATATTTTTTTCGTTGTCTCCTCCATTCCAGGTGGCCATGGTGGAAGTCCAGCTAGATGCCGAACATGACTACCCACCAGGACTCTTGATAGCCTTCAGTGCCTGCACGACGGTGCTGGTGGCCGTCCACCTCTTTGCCCTGATGATCAGCACCTGCATCCTGCCCAACATCGAGGCCGTTAGCAATGTCCACAACCTCAACTCGGTCAAGGAGTCACCCCATGAGCGCATGCACCGCCACATTGAGCTGGCTTGGGCCTTCTCCACTGTCATTGGGACTCTGCTCTTCTTGGCCGAGGTGGTGCTCCTCTGCTGGGTGAAATTCCACCCGCTGAAGAAGAATACGGGCGCCGACAGGCAGGCCAGCAATGTCACTATCACTGCCGGCGAGGCTGCGGCCATCACCTCCACCACCATCATGGTCCCCTTTGGACTGGTCTTCATCATCTTTGCTGTCCACTTCTACCGCTCGCTGGTGACTCACAAGACGGATCGCCAGTTCCAGGAGCTGAACGAGCTGGCCGAATTTGCCCGCTTGCAGGACCAGCTGGATCACAGAGGGGACTCCCTACCATCTCCCGATGGCCATTATGCCTAGAAAGGTGCCCATCAGGTTGGGGGGGGAGATCAAGGGCGGAGGAGCCAGCTATGTTCTCCTGACCCTTCCAGGGCCAAATTGGGCTGAGCTGCAATCTCTGCGTGGGGAGAGAGATGACAGTAGTTGAACTGGACCGTGACTTATTAGGGCTTTAAAAAAAAGATAATAAATCAATAAAAGGCAAAGAATTGTTCTTGTTACATTGTGGAACGCTAACACCTGCAATTCCTGCCCGTCGCCCACATTTCTCGTGGCCTGGCCTCCTCTTGCCGTCAGCCGAGTTTGTTTTCTTGAAATGGCGATTCATCATCAGAGGAAATGGAAAAATTGACGGCGTCAGGTTGTGGGTGGGGGAGGAAATTAGAAGTTGGAGGGAAGTATTATTCCTTTGACTCTTTTGTGTCAAATCTCTGGTGTTGGCTAAAGTCATGCACAGTCTGAATGCAGAAGTTCTTGAGAACGTCCAGGGACTAGCACCAAACTTCGGCTTTGCTCATGGGCCAAACTGGAAGCAAAGCAGGCGAGAAAGAGAGGCAGAGCCCCCCACCCAAATGTAGGGCAGCCCTTAACCAGAGTCTAAGAAGTGGCTCTTCCATTTTTAAAAGGAAAACAAAAGATCTCTCTTCTAGGCCTCATAGAGGCAGAGATAGACTTAAAGGCATGCCTGCCGTGCCTGTTAAAAGTTTTACAAGCTTGTGGGGAGTGAGTGTGCAATCAGGCTGGAGTGGGGTGGGGGAGCTTTTTCATGCTCTTTAATTTTTCCCACCACTCACAGGATTGAGAGAATTGAGAACAATCAGCATTTCCCAGGGCTTGATCAGAATCAGGCTTCTGTCATCGCAAAACGCAGGACATCCCTGGCCATTCTTCCACAGTTTCTTTTTAAGAACAGAAGGAACCCTAATCCCGGATATACCTAACAGGCCATTTCTCTCCAGGGGGGAAATCTTAATCACCACATTTCCCCAAACCGGTGCAGTTGTGCTGGCTGGAAATCAAGCAAGTTGTAAGCCAGCATATCTGGAGGGAACCAGGTTGAGGAACACCCTGGCCTTTGAGTAAGGCCCACAAAACTCCACGTGTGTGTGCGTGTGTGCATGTGTGTAAGTAAAGCACCATCCCCAGGCATAAGTTATTTATTCCTGCCTTGCGGAATTCCATCTGAAAGATTCTTCTGTGTTGCTGCATCTCTTTCCCCTGGATGATGGTGGTGAAGATGATGATGACGAAGATTTTATTTTAAAGTCTTTTTCTGTTGCTGTCTGGCAGTGGCTACCCAAAGTCCATCCAGTTTGGGGATCTCTGCCGTTTCACTGGCTTCCCCCAGAAGGCAAATGCAATTTGGGGGAATTCTGGAAGAGTTGGCTGAGGGCCTCTCATCTGTCTCCTCACTGCTCTTTGGTTCAAAGTAGACCAGTTTCATATTTTAACCAAAAAAACCCTTTCTACTGTCCTCTGGTTTTGTCAATCCCACCCCCCACCGCCCCCGGTAGAACTGCAAATGCTGCGTTATGAAGGAAACTGCAGCACCAGGATGGTTCAAAGCGTGTCTGGAGCGACTTGTACTTTGACACTGATGTAAAAATGGTCTCTTGCCCTTCTGACTGCTTCCGGGCCAAGCTCCTTGCCCAGTGCAGCTGGATGAGGGCCAGGATGGAGAGGAAGGAGCCCGTCTAACAAATAAGACTCGCTTTTAAGTTTTCAGTTAAATTTTTGGCAGGTGATCTGAAGACGAGAGCAGGAGTTCAGAATTACCTGCCTTGACTGTCGGAAAGGCTTCCAGCCAAGACGTTTCTTGCACCCGTAGCACTTACCTTGCGATGACTATGCTTTGATCAAAGGGTGTCCTCAGGGTGGTCAAAAAATCAAGATGATGGCCACAAAGCTGGAGCTTTGATCGCAGTGTTGTGGCCGCCATCTTGACTTTTTTGACCAACCCCTGCGTGATCCATCCTTTAAACAGTGTTCCTTTACCTGCTTGTATCGTGTCCTCTGGACCTGGGAGGCTACAAACAGCAGGGCTGTTGTTCATGGAAAGGATGTGGAACAGAAAACCAGCAAGAGGCAAAGGGAGTAGGAACATGCAAGGTGGCACACTGTAGGCCATTATTTTGATGGCAGATATGTTGGCTAAATCCCAGGATGGCAGAGGGAGGTGATCTGCCCTCCCTTTCTTATACATTGATTGCAGTTCACATCAGCTGATAGTAAGGCAAGGGGTCTGTAATCCAAAATCTCCATAGAACACCTGTTGCCTCTTTCTGTTCTAAGGTGTAGCTTGGTGTTCTCCACAGACGTTCTGGAGATGTTTGAGGACTCAGCTATGCTGGCTAGGGCTTTTGGGATTGTAGTCCCAAATATTTGGAGGCTTAGGGATGATCCAGGGCAATGTTTGGTGGAGTGAATTGCCCTCCCCACGGATGTGCAGGATGGGTCACTTGCTAATCTCTGCCTAACCCAAATCATCCTTTGCTCAGTGTGCCTCCTGATGACTGAGGGGCAGAAGGTCCTCCTCAATAGTGCTGCATTGATAGAGTTTACACTTTGTTTAAATTACTACTGGAATATCTCAGAATTGTTTTACCACTGGCCTTCCTTTTTTTATCCTGGGATACTTGAAAGCTGGGCATAGAGATCTTTAGATGGTGAGAGTATTGCTGTCCTTCCAATTAGAAAAAACCTAGGACGGTTGACCGTGGAGAAGCATTTTGCTTTTCTCTGTCTTTAAAATCAAGATGGAGTCATCCCCGCTTAGTTCCTCTCTCACCCTTGTCCCCAACCTGCTTAAAAGTCAGAGGGAGAGGGGAGACATGGAATTTCAGATCAGAAATTAAAGAAGCCAAAACAGAATGCTGGACCAAAACAGCTGCTTCCATTCCTGCAACCCAGTGTTTTTCAACCTTGGCAGATTGTGTGGACTTCAATTCCCAGAATTCCTCAGCCAGCCATGTTCCCCAGCCACACATCTTAAAGTTGCCAAGTTTGAGAAACACTGTTCTAAATCGATATTTTTTTGAAGGGGGCAATTTCAGAGTTCTGGGTGGACTCCAACTCCCAGAATTCTCCACCATGGCAATGCTGGCTGGGGAATTCTGGGAGTTGAAGTCCACACCTTTGCAAGTTACCAAGGTTGAGAAACACTGCCAACCACCCAGTGTGCTTAGGTCCTTCCTTCCTGAGAAAATATAGCAAGAAAATAGGTTGGGGAGGGGGAGATGCTGCTCAGGTAGGATTTGGGGCAAGGGGTTCAGAAATGCTGGGAAACGTCACCTGGGAAGTGGCTAAGTGCTGGTGCAGAGCAGTTCTGTCCACCACAAGGGCCCAAGCGCTGGCCCCGAATTACTGCTTTTAAGGCAGTGGAGGAATTCACAAGCCTCTTGCGTATCTCCCCATAGAAGCTGAGTTCAATTCAAAGTTTTAGTGGCCATGCTGTCTTTTTGAAGGGGGGACCTCTGGTCCTCTGCTCAAGGTCCAGAGTGGCTGCCTTCTCTGGAGATGGGGTGCATCTCTGCATGGAAGTATCTGAGCCTGCTGTTTTGGGGTACACAGGGACTTCGTCTACCCTCTACCCAGAAGACAAAGAGCACTGCATTCATTAGATGACTACTTTGTACAGGACTCTCTGTAGCCATGTTTCTGGCCCACCCCCTTAACCTTCTTTTCCCAACCAGCTACATTTTGGCTAAGATTTCTGGGTCTCGATGTCCAACTTGCTGGAGGGCCTGAGGTTGCAAAACGTCGTTTCAAACTCAGGTGTTCCTCATCCATTCAGGGGCTCCAGAAGAGAATATTTTTAATTGCTTGCATTAACTGACTAACTCATTGACAAGGGAAAAAAGCTGATTTTCTGCTTTCCAAACAGCCATCATTTTAAACAATAGCTTTTCTTTTTTAAAAAGTGTGGGTATATATTTATCAATAAGAATAAATTAGATACAAACATTGACATTTGTTTGCATTTTTTTTTTTTAATTTTTAGGAGCAGGGCTCTGTCTCCTTCAATGTAATCGTTTCTGTGTTTGCTTGAAGATATATCGTTTATGAGTGCTCATTTTTGGAATGATAAGTCGTGGCCTCTGATGCACGGATGACTTTTCTGTTCTGGAAGGGTTGAAATGGGCTTTGAGTTCTGTGTTTCCTTGCTCCGTTTTTCATCCTAATGACTGCTGGTGTCAAGACATGGTAGGTTTCAGAGTCTTTCCTCTGGGAAGAAACTCCTTGCGATGGCCTCTGGAGGTCTGGAATGTGGGATGTGTTTGAATTGGAGAGCTATACGCGGGCGTGTTCATATATGAAAACACATTTGTACTCCTGTGTGTGTGTGCGCGCTTAATCCAGTACTTGTGTTCTTTGAAGTCATTGTTGCCTTTATGAAATACTTGGGTCCACCTATCCTTATCCTAGGTGCAATCCTCAGAAACTTAAAATACATCTCTAAACTTCCCAATTATACAAACCTGAAAAAAGTCAAATCCCGAACCAACATTATGGCTGTAAAATATGGAAATCTTCGGAGCCGGGATTAGGAAAAGGAATGGAACGATACCCTCAAAATCCACCTATCTTAAAGTCACCAAAGTTGAGAAACACTGCTCTAGTGCAGGGTTCCTCAACCTTGGGGACTTTAAGATAGGTGGATTTTGAGGGTATCGTTCCATTCCTTTTCCTAATCCCGGCTCCGAAGATTTCCATATTTTACAGCCATAATGTTGGTTCGGGATTTGACTTTTTTCAGGTTTGTATAATTGGGAAGTTTAGA